TGGGCGAGCATGCCGCTAGCCCAGGCCGCAACGCGTGCCGCGGCTCCGTGGCGCAGCCGTCGCTGCTGCTGCTGCTGGTGGTGCGACGGTGGCTGTGCTGCGGCGATGCGGGTCATGTGCTGCCGCGCCAGCTGCAGTGTCATGTTGCGCGCGCTCAGACTGAAGGTCACCACCGGGAGGTGGCCAAAGTGCGCGGCGGTCTGTTTGATGCGAACGGCAAGTGCGCTCGCGAGAAGTCCGTGCCTGGCGTAGAACTGCAGCGCTAACACAACCCGCACCCTCATCTCCCGCATCTTACCATGAGCTGCTACGCGAGAGAGGGGAGAGGGGGACGGCATACCGACAGTCCTGTGCGGCGATGTTGCTGCAGCCGACGCACTCTGCACGTCCGTCGGGGACGCCGGCCACTGGAGCTCGCTGCGCCGCGCAGGCGTGGAGGCACTGATGCAAATCGCCTGCATGCCGTTCGGGAACGGGGTCTCATCCACGGTCACGTCAATACGCACCGGTGGGGGGATTTCCTGCACCGATGCAGCGAGAAAGCCCTGTGAGTCTCTCTTATCTCCCCGTGTTATGCTGCTTGAACGTATTTGCTGGTGCTGGTGCTGCTGCTTCTTCCGCTTCTGGCGCGGAAGATACGCGCCCAATTCGAGGCGCTCCACGATGACGCCATTACGTCTGCCGCTTCTTTTCAGCACAAACAGGGACCCTTGCCGCGTCAGCACCACCGACCGTGGGGCAAATCGTGTGGAGAGAGGCTCGAGGCAACCACTGCTTCTGTTGGCGCCCGTGTTGTTGTTGTTGTTGTTGTTGCTGCTTACGCCGCCAAGAGGCAGCATTTGTTCACAGTGCGCGGCAAAAACAGGTTCGAGAGCCTCTGCGGCGCGGCGGTCGATGCCGAGCAGCTGCACAAAGTTGTTGCTGAGCTCCACAACCCTCAGCGGGTCTGTGAGCCGCATGGATGGAGCCGTGCCATCATCCTGCCGCGCCATCAAGAGGCCGCTCCTGCCGCCACGCCGCACCTCTTTTTCTTTTGTGTGTCTTTAGCGCGAGGTACCTATGAGAGACGGAAGGAACCAAAAAAGAAAAAATAGATAAGTTGGCAGCGAGGCATACACAACGGCGCGGGGTGACGGATCCCCTCAATCCGCACCGTACGCCGCGTTCATCCTGGCAAGAGTGAATGATTTGTTGTTTGTTTGTTTGTTTTTTTCGTTCCAGAAGCAGAGCACGTGAGGTGCGAAAAGGAAGAGGAAAAGAAAGAAAGAAAGAAAAAAAAAACAACGAAGCACAGGCAAGCTACAGATTACATCGCGTGGGACACACAGGAGCAACCACTCGTTTTTGGCTGGATCTTTTATTATACATTCACTATGAGCATGGGTCCGCTCTTTTTTTGTGTGTCTGTGTTTTCCTGCTACGTGGCACTATCGTTTCAGCTGCTTATCTTCCCTGCGTTGCTGCATATCAAGAGAAAAGAACATCACTCCTTTCATCCTTCGGCGCACTGCACCGTGGCTCATTTGTTCTTCTCAGTTCTCGGCGGGTGCCAGCCACCCAAGCTGCGAACCGGTATGGGAACAAACTCATGCTCTGGCTGTGGCTGTCGCGGTGGCGGCAGTTCGCCACGTCGTAGATTCGCAGAGGGCATCCGCTTCACGAGGGACGAGCGTCGTGGCAGCCGTTTGGCGAAACTCCGAAGACTGCGGATGCGCGGTGGCAGAACGCAGGTGCGTGGTTGGCCAATAAACAGCGACGGTGCCGACAGCCTCTGGACGTGGCGGTGGCTCGTGTAGAGCGGCACCCAGCGCGGGCGGTTGCGCACCACCCGCGGGGCGACGAGGCGTGAGAGGAATGGGTTATTCAGGCCCCGCGAGTCAATGAGGCCCAATATGGAGCGCCAGTAGCTGTCCTGCGTGCGGTATGACCGTGCGCTGTTGGGGAGTCTGCGGCGCGACTGAGCAGGGCTGCGGTATACTACCTGTGAGAGGTAACTGTTGGCTGATGGCCAGTAGGATAGCAAGGAAGCTCCGTAGGTATCAAGGCTTCTTCCCACAGGCGGCGGCGGCGGCAGTGCCGTAGCGCCACGAGGAGACCCGCACCCCGTGACGAGACTGTGACCAGAAACGGAAAATGCACTCTCGGGCATCGACTGCTGCTCCATGTCACCGGTTGTGTTCGCCGGCGCTGTCTCCTTCACCTTCGCCACGGGAGGTACGGGTGGAGATGGAGATGGCACACATTGCGGGCTCATGGGTTCCAAAGCACGTGCCATTATGGCCATTCCGTCGAGCGCCAGATTGTTGTATCCATCTTCGGTCACTGAGCGAGGCGGGTGTTGGTTGGACGATATGAATCGTGCCCAGTTAAACGGCGGGGACGATGTCAACGGCGGTGCGAGAGGGATGAAGGGAGCAGCACCGCCACCCCCGCTACCAGTCCTATCTACGGTTTCGTTACCAGAGTTAGCCGTATTATTCTCACCCTGCGGCGGCACATGCTGCACGGTGGGCAAACCGCTCTGGCCAAGCGCCCTGTGAAAGAATGTCGCCCAAGGCAGCGCTGCAGTACGCGTGGATGGACGGTGCGGGTAGATATTTTGCGTCATGGCCCCCCCAACCTCCGGTGGGCCGAACCCCTCACCCAGGTCGAGGCGTATCGTCGCCGGCTGCCATGGTATACGTTGCGGCCGACGCCGTTCACGGTCCGACATGCGGGGTGTCGTGCGTCGCGCCCCCACGCCAAGTTTCGGCAGCGTCGGTGAAACCTCGATCGTGTCGCCGCCCGATTTTCGCGGCGGCAGCGTGCCTGCTCCGCCGCCACTATCTGTAGTAGCCTCACCATCACCGCCAACATTGCCTCGGCCTCTACCGCTCCTGAGAGGGACCTTGGGGAGCGCAACACCAGGCGTCACCTTCTTTGTCGACTGTGTCAGCGACGACTGTGGCTCCTTTGGCCGCTTACCCGCGCCCTTTGTTGGTAGTGGGCTATCGGCGCCGCGGCCACCTGCCGGGTTGCGTGTTCGCTCTTGCGTGGGCGGGCGCGGCGTACTCCACCCCACTAACTCGCTTGGTTCGTGCGTGGCAGACGGCGAGGCACCATGTTGGTCACTCAGCTGTTTGGCGACGCCAGTAGAAGAAACATCGCCGCCGTCCTGCTGCCCACCGGGGCCCCACCCACCCGAACCTCTCTGTTGCAAGGCATTGGTGGCGTCAGCTTGCTGTGATAGGCTGGCTGAAGCCTCGGTGAGGCCGGCTTGAGGCGTTTTCCCATCCCCACTGACGGCGTTGCTGGGTTCGCGATCGATGCCGGCGACGTCACCAACACTACCATCGCCGCGAATCACATCATAAGAGTGTATGTCGTTGCTATTGGATCCGCCAGCCCTTCCTCCTTCCGACTTGGAGGCCCCTGCAACCGATACAGAGACATTCCCTGCGCCACTGACTTGCTTTTCCAAGTTGTCCGTCAAGGCAGTGGGAGTTGAACCCCCAGATGCAGCTTGAGTCGCTCCAGTTGGTGTTGCTCTTGCTGCCACTGCTGCTGGTCCTCGCACAATAGAGGCATTTTCAGGTGAATTCGCGGCCAGTTGCGCACTCCCAGCACCATCCTGGCGCAGATCAGGTGTGCCGGATGGCAATCCCTGTGCCGGACGAGTAACACCGCTGATGCTTCCACCAGTTGAGCCCCTCCATTTCATGGAGGCGCCCCCCAACGGAGCCCGCTGAAGGTGCCGGAGTATATGAATGAGGACTTGCGTGTCGGCCTCGACAACTTGTGCCATGTAATCCGCCTGCGTCGCCGCATCTTCGTTGTTCTCATCCTGGAAAAATTTCATCACTTTGGCAGCATCTTTGGGCCCCTTCTCCGCGGAGACGACGAGTTCATCGAGGGCAATCAGCTGTTTATGCAACTCCTCGTAGCCTCTTGCGAGCGCACGCACACGTCGGTTCGTGGCAGATCTCGTCCGCCCGGAGATGCTTCCCATCCCCTCACCCCCACGCAGCGACCAGCTCGCCTCGCCCACTGATGAACTGACGCGGGCGGTCCGTTTCCCCACATGGCTCGCTTCACCACCACCACCACTGCCACTACCACCATCACCCTGCTGGAACGTTGGCAGCACTGCACCAAGAGTGCCCGGCAGAGGGGAGACAGCCCTTCCCACGCTGGAGCTGCCGCTCGGGCGGCCCACTGAAATGGAATGCTTGGAAGTTGGCCTGTCTCTTATTTTTCCTCCGCTTCCCCTTCCGCTTCCGCTTCTGCTTCCACCTGCTGCTCCCGCCGACAGTGGCGATGCCGCACGGAAGAGCGCAGATGCGGACGACGGGGGTGAAGGGGACGCGCGGGGTGTGCGGCGCGACGGTGTCCCCCGCCAACTGCGACTCACCGAAGGGGATTGTTGGCGCGAGGCGGTGCTGCGTGACGTGCTGTGGGCCGACTTGTCCTTCGTCCACTCCGTCTGCACGCCGTGCTCTCGCGTCTCCACGCCAGCATTGCTAATGCCAGTGGCGGCATAAACGCTTCCACTAACACTGTTGTTGCCTTGACGCAGAGAGCTCTTCGATGGGCTGAGCGGGAGCGGCGAAGATGATAGCATCGGCGTGGACGTATGAGTCGCCAACTCCCTCACAGGCGTGCGTCTGTTGCCCGAAGTAACGCGTTGCCGGCTGGTGCTCTGCGAGTTGCGCGGCGTCGCTGTGCGGATGTTTTCACGCCGCAGCGAGCTCGGTGAGGAGACTTGCTGCCGCCGCCCGCTAGAAGAGCTGCCACGGCCGGTCACCGACTCCGGCGGCAGCGACAAACTCTCCCGCTGCGTCTCGGTGGACGCCGACGGGGTCCCGAGGCTGCCGAGCTGCGGCGGCCGCTG